TTATAAAGCAGAAGATGAAGAATCAATCTTATCTAAAATTAAAGATCCAGAAAGCTTTGAAGAAATTCTAAACTTACCAAAACGTGAGCAAGAAGCTTGGATCAAGGCTATGCAAGAAGAAATACATTCTCTAAAAGAAAATGAAACCTATAGCACTTACAGAATTACCACCAGGAAAACATGCAGTAGGCAGCAAATGGTGTTTAAGACAAAATATGATGAACTGGTAAAAATATAAAATACAAAGCATGCTTAGTAGCCAAAGGATTTACTCAAAATACGGCAGTGATTATGATGAACATTTTCACCAGTAGTAAAAACCACTACGATAAGAGTTTTCTTAGCATGGGCAGCGTATAATAATGCCAAGGTACATCAACTAGATGTTAAAACAGCTTTTTTGCATGGCAACTTAAATGAAGAAATATATATGGAACAACCAGAAGGATTTGTGGTTCCGGAAGAAAGACAATGTTTGTAAATTACAGAAGTCTATTTATGGTCTCAAACAAGCAGCTAGGTGCTGGAATGCAGAAATTGAAATACATTAAAGAATCTTGCGTTCAGTCAAAGCAAAGCAGATCCGTGTCTTTTCACAAAAGTGGTTCGTGATAAAAGAATTAATATAATAGTGTATGTTGATGACATCCTAATAAGTTCTACAGAAGAAGGACTAATTATTCAAACAATTAATGATTTAAAGAAACGTTACCAAATAACGCATCTTGGTGAAGCTAAATATTTCTTAGGCATGGAAATAAATCGCAAGGAAGATGGAAGTTATCTCTTATCACAGAAAAATAAAATAAATCAACTTGTCAAGCAATTTCACTTGAAGAAGCGAAAACCCGCTAGCACACCAACGGAACGAACTATTATAGCCTAAACAAGGAAGAAAATCTCCTAACTTCAAATGATAAATTTCGCCAAGCTATTGGAAGTCTCTTGTATATATCGTCTATCACAAGACCAGATATCACAGCTTCAACTCACATACTCAGCAGAAGGTGTACTAATCCACGTCAAAAGGACTGGAATACTGTTAAAAGAATCATTAGATACTTAAATACGACAAAGAATCTATCCTTACAAATTCCGTCAAGTGAAGAACCTAATATTACAGTTTATTCAGATGCTGACTGGGGACAAGATATTGAAGATAGAAAGTCTACATCAGGAAGTGTTATTTTATTAGGAAAAAACTGTATTTCGAGGTTTTCAAGAAAACAAACTTGTGTTTCTTTATCCTCAGCAGAAGGTGAATATGTTGCACTATCGCAAGCTACGCAAGAACTATTATGGCTATTAAAATTAACAAAAGATTTCAATCTACCCCAAACTCTACCAATAAAGGTATTTGAAGATAATCAGTCTACTATAAGACTTGTAGAATCTGAAAAATTCAGTTCGTGCACAAAACATATTGATACAAAAGTTCATCATATATGCGACTTGAATAACAAAGAAGAGTAAAATTTGCTTATCTTTCATCAGAGCAAATGGTTGCTGATATTATGACTAAACAATTCCTAAAGCTAAATTTCAGTTTCGCAGGAATGAATTGCAATCGATATGAGTTTCATTAGCAAAGCAGGGGCAATGTTAGCATAAATTTAGGTATTTTGCATAATGAAACTCGAAAGGCATACAAAACGAACTTGCGCCAAGATATATATTGGCGATAGAAAGTAAAGTTCGTGTGCAATGCAGTATATTTGATTTTTCACCCTAGCTACTTGTACCTGGCCAAAGGTCTAATCAAGTTAGTACTTTCTTCTTTTTCAGGTGCGGTGTCAAAGTATATTCCTGTTTCTTTTTTTCTTATTGCCTAAAATAGGTAAGCCTGGTGATATTTAGTACTGATGATGATTCTATGCAAGTTATTCTTTTGAATACTTCAATTTTAATGTCTGTGAAGATTATTACTTTATTGTTATGCTTAAGTTAAGCAGAATTATCCTATTTTATTAAATAAAGATTTCGTAGTTAAAATTTTTAACTTATGATTCTTTAATTCTGTGCTTGAGGAAACGTACTCATTACGCCTTCAGTGCTAATGTACAACCAACAATAACTCTCCTCAATATACTTGAAATCAGAGTCAGAACTACTATCAATGTCGGAAATACTTTCAGGAATATAGGTTATATCACACGCGAAATGCTTCCTGCCAAACATCTTTGAGCTCTCAAAAGCGCGTGCAAGATGCTACATTACGTATTCTCGTATATTTGGCAGAAATGTGAACAACTAACGCCATCTGTTAGCCCACATCTAAATAAACAATTAAACATCACAGAAAAGCCGAAAGGAAACCTTGAACGGGGAAAGAGCGAGTTGCACAGCTAAATAGACAGCAAAAATTCATCCCCGCAGAAATCTTGGGTTGAGCAAATTTTGCTACTTCTACGTTGCTCGTGGAAATTGCGGGATGTGCAACGAGAGGGTTAAAAGCTGTCGTGGGAAAGAGAAATTCTGCCTTCTAACGAAATTGAGTAAAAATTCAGTTGAGTATCTACAGGAGCTAAAAATCAATTATATTACCAGGTTGGAATGTTCAAAAGAAATGCACCAAAAAGCTAAATAACAATCAATTTTTTTTTATATATGGAAAATGTTTAATTTCTTATTTTACATAAAAGATGGCAGTATCCTTAACTTAAAGCTAAAAAAAAAATTTAATTTAAAAATGTATACATATATTGTTTACATACTTATTTTTAAACAATTTTATTGAATAAAAAATTAGGCACCTTTTTTTTTCCCCCGTTTTGTTGAAAATGATGCCTTTAGGGCTTAAGACAAATTAACTACAATATCAATTTAAAGTCACACCTTTCTGCTACACAACACTGCAGCATTGTTTTAGAGAATGATGAAACCAAGCACTGACTAAATATGAAGATTTTGCTCAAGTCTATGTCTATGACAGAGCTGCAGTGAACACTTAGTACATCTCCAAATAATTTCTTCGAAACTGTCAGAACTAAAGTTTTCAGTAAATCATAAAAGAAATGCTACTTTAATAATTCTTACATTAAGTATTTGGGATATATCACAGGTTCCGGCAGTCATCGGACTGATCCAGACAAAGTTGGACGCTATCCAAAAACTGGCTAGATCTCAAACAAAGAAGTGACAAAGAGATATTTTGGATCTATGTAAGTATTACAGAGATAATATCCTACATTATGCAGAGACAGCTTATCCATTAACTGTCATAAAAGAAGAAGTCCTAAAGAGTTGTACTGGATAAAGAAACATAACAACATATTTAACCCTTTAACTGTCAAGTTATTTTGATGATTTGGGTACACAAATTGTCAAATTTTTTTATTGGAAAAATCAAATGTTTAGTACAAAATAAAATATACTTAAGTAGTTAAAAATTGATATTTTGAAGTGCATGGGTAAAATTTTTAAAGTTTTGTAGCCACTGCATATTTGCTTGAGGTGGCTGCCACATGGCAGTCGTAAAATTCGCTTCTAGTGGAGCATTATTTTTTAAAATGAAAAAAATAATTTTCCAAAATATAAATAAAAGTAAATACCTATTAGTAGTTTAGTAATTTAGTCTTGTGTGGTACAACTGGAAACACTTTTCCAAGCAACTCCACAATCACTACACCAGAATCGTGTTTCCTTCCTTATCTTTTTCACATTTTGATCCTTGAACAACACTTTGCAATGTCTTGTAGGCTCCGTTTCACAGGAGTAGGAGGAATATGGAAATAAAATGTTGTTCAGTAAGACGGGCGGGTTATCTATTGTATGTGGTCTGCCAACATCTTTATCCAAAAGCTGCATCATCATATTTATGTAAAGCTCTTCTACAACTTTGATTCGAAATTTAAAAATGTATACGTTTCTCAACTACATTTTTATAGAGCAAATATGAGTTCCAAAGTACCTTATCTAGTAATGTAAAAATTCTTTTATAATATTCTTTCTGACGTTTTCGGATTGTTGGATGAAAGGATTTTTCCTGATCACAGTGATCTACACCACCCATAGTCAGAAACAATCTCAGCTTGAGTATATCTTCATTTTTTTTTTTTTTTTTTTTTTTTTTTTTTTTTTTAATAAATTTTTGAGGCTGATTATGGAAGTACCATAAATACTGCTCATCAAACACATCCTTCATATTCGGTTTGAGAATCTAAATCTATATAACGTTTCAAAGAAGAAGGACGCCATTTACAACAAAAAAATCACGTGACTTTGAACCAGAACTTATAACCTCTAACCATTGAAATCTTCAGTAAAGTGCTTGTCATCTATTGGAACTGAGCACACTTAACTTTTCCCGAGATACAGTTGGGTTAGACAAAGAGAGAGCCGAAATAAAACGTCTCCGATCTTATCGGGTATAACAATACGATCCCAAAAAAAAAAAAAAAAAAAAATTACCCCGAGAAATACTCCAGCGTGACATTTTCGAACACCAGTGCAATCTCGAGCATGACAGGTAAAAGGTTAAAGAGTTAAAAAAGTATCTTGTGGAGGCACCTGGCCTTTATCCCTGTTTCAAGGTTACTTTTTATAATTCAGTGAGATGTATCCTCGGCAGGTGATGATTCTTATCTCAACAAAAGAATGGAGTGTTGTGCCTGATTAGTTATGCTAGCCAGAAGTTAACAAAAGTGCAATAAGCATGGCGAACCATTAAGAGGAAAACCTATGCTGTGATTTACAGCTCAAAAAAAGTCTGAAACATTGCTCTTCGGATTACTCATAGAATTGATTATTGATCACAACCCATAAACTTTTTCAAACATTCTTGCACTAGTAGCCAAAACTTCTGTAGGAAGTCACAGAACTGGCAAATAAAATGTTTTTGATGTTCTAAAAAAATAATAAAATTTTGAAATGACTAAGCACTGAAATTTGTTAGTGTTAAATTTTTTATTAACACCTGGAAACTTCAATATGATGGCATGTTATCCAGAATACTCCAACACAAAATTACTATAAAACAAAGCAAAAATAATTAAACATACCTGTAATGCCTTATAAGTTTTTTCATTTCACTAAAAACTGAAATTGTTGCTTTGTCACGAACTTTTGTACTGCGTTCAATGTACAGCCGCTGAAACAAAACACACATACACAGCTTAGTACATACCTTAGAAACAAACATGTTCTTACAGATTTCCCGCACTTCTGGATTCAGAAGCATAATTAAACTCAAAATTAGACGCAAAATATCATATAAATTGCTTAATTCAAAGATATTTTTAAGTGTAAGGCTATGCATGCATACATGTCATTAAAAGAAATGTAGACAACATGTTTTTGTGTATTAGCCAAGCATTTTCAGCAAATATTTTGCTATTTAATTTCAAAGGTTAGCTTAGGCTGCTATCACACGTCGGTTTGTTTCGAAAGAACAACTGTTTGGAACAATTTTTCTGCTTTGTCACAACAGCCAATCACCACAGCACTTTGGGGTTAACACAGGGAAACTGGTTCTCCATTACAAAAAGCTAACGCTTCGGCGCTGATAGCTGATTAGTTGAAAACGAACAACATGCAAATTTTTTCGAAAGGAAGGAAAAAGTCGCACGTTTTTCTTTCAATAGTAAACCAGGCAGAAAAATTGTCCGAAACAGTTGTTTGTGTGAAACAAACGCCGTGTGATCCCACAGTTTCAGAGCAGCTTCCACTAATTCAATCACAAAGACAAATAAATGAAATAATTGAGAAAATACCTTTTTTTTATTTAATCCTAATACACATTAATCAGATTTCTTAAAATTAGTACTGGATTTAATATTTTCTAGCAATTCTCAACATCTTTCTCTCTACTACTGACAAATCTAAGAAAATGGATCATCCTCTATTTTACCATTAACATCACTATTATCCATCTTGTAAATAACAACATTTTCAGTTCCACACCATTGCTGATACGACATTTTTTTAATGACCTGATGACTGTTTCTGGTCTAACTTTTAAAATGATGATGATTTGGCACTCACCTTCAGTGTTTTCCCCCCTTCTTCTTATAAAAATAAAGAACATTTACATTGAAAGACCTGAAGCAACACTGTGCCTAAGTTTCTAGACATTTTTAACTGCTCCCTAGTCCTTCACAGCGAATGAAATTCTTATGGTAACCAAAAATTCTTATGGGCAGTTATGACAGAATAATATTTGATTTTTAATATAGCATGAACTTTTAAAATACAGATGAGAGTACACAAACAATTCAAAAGATGAAATTAATGATAAATGTAATTTTATAATGATTACTTATTTACGGCATTGTCGTTGTTTATCTGTTTCGAAATTAACTGCATTATTTGTCTTAGATTATGAGCATGAGGACTATCTGCCTTGGCTCTTTCCGAATATTGACCACAGCTCCTTCAAAGGATGTAATCCGAGAATGTTGATTCAAATTTTTAAAAGTTTTCATAGCATAATATCCATGCTACTAAGCAGAAAGATGATAACTCATAGATAGTGAGTGTTGGTGTGTTGTCAAATAATGTTGAAGCAGGACAGCCAATCAAAGATGCCACTTACTTTTTTCCTGGCGCGAATGTATTTCTTATACTGTAACTTTTGAATGTGGAGACAATTCTAAACATGTCAAACAACCATTTAAACTGTTACATCCATGGCTGTAATGTCACTTGCTAAGATAATATCTGTCAGTATTGTGTGCTACAGGCTTCACATGAAAGGGCTGTATCCAAGAAAGTACTTAACTAACCACCTAATCTAGACAGGCAAGATTAAATTGGTGTTATCAACATCTCAAATGGACTGTCTCAATTTGGTGCAACTTTCTGTTCACCAATGAGTCCCGATTTGCCCTGAAATCAGATGATGAGCATGTAAGGGTCTGGGAAGAGCAAGGCATTTGAAACCAGACTCTTTATAAGTGTATCACTGAACATTACATAATCAGAAGTGGAAGCATCATGGTGTGGGCTGGAATTGTAATGGGAATTCTAATGGAACCCAATGGGGATGAAGTCTTATATTTCCTAGTGAGACTGAAAAAGTTGGTTTGGATTCCCTTCTTATGGATGATAACGCCATCCTATTGAACTAACATCAATAACAAAGTACCTTGATGTTAGCGCGATAGGATGGGCATTATCATCCATAAGATTAAAATCCAAACCAACTTTTTCAGTGCATAGTCTCATTAGAAAGTGTAAGACTTCATCCCCATTGAATGAGGATTAATACTGGATTCACGTGGAATGAGAAAATGAGGAGCGTTTTCTCACATGGAATGGCTGTGATATTTCCTCGACCTGAATACTACTGAAAATTTTAAGGATGCTTTTGAGCATGCTGTTTCTGCGTGTTTACCTCCTCCAGCCAGTCCGAGCTGGAAACTTCGCTAATGGAGGAATGGTCACTGCAATAGTTGATCCCTTATTAAAAGCACGGGTGCTTTTAATAAATGCTGTAAAGTATGGGTGCTTTCAGTAAGTGCATGAAGTTTGAATGAAGATCCAACATTCTGCACAATTCTTTCATTTACAACTTCATTTGCAATTAGGTGTTAATTAGAGTTTTACTTTCCCATTTTTGTTGATTTTACAATCACACACTTTTGAAAGTCAAAATGTTTTACATATCTCCTGTTTTCTAATTATAATACAATTTTATTTCTTCAAATCTGCTGCTTGCTAAATAAACATATGCCTACAATGTTAGATATTATGTAGGGTAAATAAGATGTTGATAAATTAAAATTCTCTTATACAAGAGACTCTGGCAAACTAAAGTTATCTGAAGTAACTGAATAGATATTTAAGTAAAGCAAAGATAACACATATCCAATAAAAGGACGCTAGTTAAAATTTTCCTATTATCTGTTAGAGGCACAATTAAATTTTATCATGGTAAAATTAGACAGGGTTCGTAGCCACATTTTAGTTAAAAAAATAAGCACCTAAAGCACTTTTCAAGCACATTTTAAGAAAAAAAAAAAGCACCTGTCTAATTACATTCTCAACTGCATAACCTTAAAGAAAAATTAGACTTGCAATTTAAAAATGAGCATGCAATATTTATTAGAAATGAGCATTGCCCAACATGGAAAACAATTACTTTTAAAAAAAATTTAAATGAAAGTTTCAATTACAATTAGTTTACAATGAAAAAAAAAACTGCAGAACTAAACTATATTACAATTTAATGATGAACTTTAAGTTCAAATATAGAAAATAAATAATAATAGCCATATTAATTGTATTTGCTTGTCACCTAATAAATACATTTTCCCACTCATATTAATATTAAATAATAACTTAAATCAATTCTGAACATTCTAAATTTCATTGCATAACAGTTCTCTTAACATTTTCAAGCAAAGTAATTTAAGTAAAAAGAGGCAGTTTCTGAAATCAGGAGACGGGAAATTGCTTCATGCAGTCATCTTTTAACAGTAAAAGCTTAACTAACCTCATACCGGAAATTGCCGAATATCCGTATAGTCGAGCGTAACTGGAAAAAGAGGAGAGGGGGGAGAGATTGTAGCCGTTCTTTAGATTTCTTGGCTAAAAAATGATTTGACATTTCGATATGTGCATCATATAAAAATAGACCACGGAAACTGAGAATATTCTCTTAGAAAGCACAGTAAAACTCTTTTAGTGTTCATAAATAAATCTCCAGACTGAACTCCAAATTAATTATCTCTGCAAAACCAGCAAACATTATTGCGCATACGTGCAGCGTAATTCTTTCCATACGTGATTACATAATCGATCAACAGCTCCAGTATTTGAGAATACAGAACTAAATAAAGGAAAGAAGAGACTTACTAATCTGGGGTGTTTTTGATTCTAATTTTAACAGCTGCCTTAAATTTCGGATAGAATCACTTTTCACTTGGGTTGGGTGACCGCAAAAACTTTTAGTCCTATTCTCCAGATTGGCAGTGACAAAAAAAAAAAAAAAAAAAAAGCGCTGGTTCAATATTAGAGATTTTGCGTGAAAAGGGGAAACTCCAACCTCCGTCTGTATAACGTATTGGAAAAAAAAAAAAATTGATATTTGATTACTTCTTTTTTATTAAGCCATTCCAATATTATTCTTAGAAAGCTAATCTGTGTACAATACACCCACTTTGGAAGTTTATCTACACTTCAGCAGCTACTGCAACTATATCACTATAAATGTTCATACATATGCTCATATAAGCATAACGATCATAATAAACACGAATAGAACTGACCATGGGAACGAGAATCATTATAAAATCTTGATAGAAATTCAATGGGGTGAGTAATTGGGTGGGAGGAAAGAATACCGAATGAAGCGAAATTTTTACGGTTTTCGCAATTCTTTGACCTAGTGCACTGTCTGTACTCTCCGCGCGCACCATACGTTACGTTAATGCGTGAAAGGGGAAAAGCTATTTCGGGAGTATGATTCACCATCTGACTTCCATATAAGGAAGAAAAGTTGTTTTATTAGTTCGGTTTGGTAGGGAAAAAGCGCGTTCATTAAAAAAAAGCACTAAAAGCAAACTAAGCCTAAAAACAAAAAATAAGGGCTTAAGAAAAAGTAGACCTATAAAGGCCTTTATATTTTATTTTCAAATATAAGGACTTACAAGCACTTGTAAGGACCGCTACGAACCCTGTTATATTAGTCAACAAATAAATACAGATCATATATGTCATATTTTGTCACAAAAATATACATTGTCTAGAGTTTTACTTTCTTTGCTATCATACAAACTGTTTAACTCTGTGTAGACATTAAGACACTTATCGCTATGATCTAAGCAACGGCAGAGACTTGCGAAGAGTGTAAAAGACCCTTTGTTTTAAATTAAGTAAGATGAAAAGAAGGTGCTCTTAGTGCTTAAACCTCCGTCCTGTATGGTGACTGCATTCGATTCCCTTCCGTCCCGCACGAGCATCTTAAACAAAGGTGCGCTGTCGCGAAAAGGTTAATGTTGAACTTTGTTTTTTATTTTTTATTTTTATAAGATGTTATTTATCAAATTATTAAATAGAAAAGTTATTTTTCAACAATGAATAATCATTCTGTTACTTCCAACAACTCCATTACAGCAAATGATCGAAAAAAATTAAGCAAATTCGCCAGAAAATCAGAAATTCCATTAAAATCTTGTATAAAGTTCATTTAAAATATTTTTCCACTTTATTCAACAGTGGAGAACAGTAAAATTCAGATAGTTTGTTCATCAAGTGGATATATTTGCAAAATATGATGTCAATGTTAAATTAAAAAAAAAAAAATCTCTCCACTATATCCTACTATAATTCATGAGTGTGGGCGCAAAATGCCAGTTCTGTGAATAGTTGAAAAATGGAATGCAAAGATTTGACCGTAGTGAAAAATGACATGAACAAGTTAAATAAAAGCTTAGAAATGCATGTTTAATTTTAAAAATAATTCTAGAAAGTTACCTAATTAATATTTTTCTTTAATCATCTTTATTTTAAAAGAGAGTGAAGAATTTTTCATAATCACTGAAAATTTTACATCTTTATAACAAACAGATCTCTCTCTTTTTTTTTTTTTTTTGCGGGGGGGGGGGTATTAGTTTTAGAATGCTGAGAAAAATGTTTAAACTTATGAAATTTAAAAAAAAAAAAAAAAAAAAAAAAAAAAAGGTGTAGTAGATTTCCTTATGATGCAATAACATCATAACTTTAAAACTAAACCTAGTAACATGACCTTGAAACTAAACCTAGTAACATTAACACTGAAACTTCTCAGCAGTTATGAAGGTAAAAGTGACATTTCCCTTTCTGTTTCCCACTGTAGCATATTTAACCCGTTCAGGACCAGCATCGCGCATACGCAACGCAACGATTCGACTCCTACGATTTATTTGAATTTTTAAAAGCTAGTAAATGGAGCTAAGTGGTAATTGTTTTTGCATAGGTTGATTCATACGGCATTTGACCTTCATGTACTGGCATTAGTTTCTGTTTTGTGCTTCTGGTTTTGAGAGATTTATTGAAATAAACAAACTGGAAATCATGACTGTTTATAAGTGCACCTGTGAATTAAAGGGCATTTTTGTTTATTTTGTTAGGATTTTCTTTACTTTTCATTTTTTATTTATTTATTTTTCCCTTATTAATTTTGAAATTTAACATAAGCTTTCTTGGTTAATTAAAAAGTAACATTGCAACATTATTACAGAAGGGGAAAGATTATCAGCTTTCTCGACGCGTAATGCGTCTTGCTAGCATTTCTCAGGAAAGAGCCAGCGTTTTTGTTTTTCTTATTCGATTTAATAGGTCATTATATATAATGCCTTGAATGGTCATTATATATAATGACACAGGCATTATATTTTGGTATATAATATATTTACTTTACATAGAATGTAATTTTAAATAATGTATATATTGACGTGATCAGTAACGCCAGTGAGGGTTCTTTCCTTGATCACTTTCTGGTTATCGTGGACACTGTTTTCGATTTAGAAAACCAGGAAGTTTTCTAATATAAACCTGATGTCACACAATGTTTCAGGATGAAATATTTCTGAGTGTCATTTGAAGTTCTGTGACATGTGTTGGGGTTTTAAAATTAAAAATAGACTTAATTAATTGTTCATTTGAAACTAGTATTGAATTTATAGGAAGAATTCTCAGAAAACTGTTGTTTTCATAAAAATTCAAAATAACTCTTCAACAGACTCAACATTCCTATAATAAAAGAAAAGGTTTCATCAACAAAAATTCCCCAAATTTCCAATCTGATGAGTATAGTATACCAACAATGTTAAAAAACTCAATAAAAAGAACAGTAATAGCAAATCTCATAAAGATATCAGCTTCTGAAATCTGAAGAACAGAAATATACATCCAAGATAATTTAAAAGTAGTCTTACATGATATTGTTGTGCTTGAAACTCTTTTATAGTTCTAACTACAGATTCAACTATATCTTCTGTATCAGGTATCTTCACAATGCTTTGCACATGTTTTGCTTCTTTTCTCCAAAAGGTTCTATTAAGGTAATCCAAAGCAGCTTTTGCACCCTTACGCAAAACTGGCAATGATGGTAGATACGAATGTGTTGCAAAATTTCTCAATTCTACTATCCATGCAGGAATACGCAGCTAAGAAAAATCAAAAGAACTTAACACAAAATAAAAAATTTATTACATCAAAACAAACTGATTAATTTTTGAAAAAGCCATCAACAAATAATAAAATATTATACAAACAAACTAATAAATATTATACAAAGATATGTCTTAATTCTGACAAATCATATAACATTGTATTTTAATGTATATCTTGTGAAGTCTAAATTACAACCAAAATAAGCCACACTTTAAAACTTAAATAATTTAATAATAAAATATTTTTACATCAATATCAAATCCTAGAAGTGTTTTACTGACATGAATCTCTACCTTAAGTATACCATGTAATTCTTATTAATTAATAACTATTTAACACCATCACATAATACAACATAATTGTTCTTATTTGCATACTGTAAGTGATGCAGAAATAGCATACTGAATCCCTAGAAGTTTTCTGTGGGAAAAAGAATATTTAACAATGCTCAAAAGGTCACTCATCTTATTTTAACTGACAAAATATGTCCCTTGCTAGTGGATTTAAGCGTGGATTTTCTTATCTGTATTTGCACTTTCATCATTGTACTTTTTATGTATTCTCTGTTTTATGTTTCTGTTCTTGGCAAATGATCTAAATAAATATACCTTTAACGTATAATTAAAATGTTTCCATTTGACAACAGTAACATGTTCACGTGCATTACATTATACTATTAGCTTCATAAGCTAATAATAAAGGTTATGCAATTTCCAAAGTATTTTTCTTGTATTAAAATTTTGTGTGAAATATACGGAACACGTGTTCTATATGCAACATTGATGACATTTCTGATTCAAAGCAGTATAACCTATATCTGGTACATGTAGTGGGATATCTATATACTTGGTACTTGTTAACCTGATAATTTTAAAAAGGTGTAATCTTACAACATAAGTATGCACTTCATCATGATGCCACGATTGTGAAACAAACGTAGATTCTAATAAAAATAGATCCTTTTCATTTTTAGTTCACCTGAAATTTCCCAGAATGGCTAACTGCTGCAATACAACAAAAACACAAGACCTGTACTGGACTTTAAAAATGCAAAAGATCATCAGCACAGAATTTATGCCACAGGGGCTAGTTTAAATTCTGTCCTGTTGTTGAGCGGGCCATACAATATGTTATGCTCAGTAAATGCATAGAAATGTTTCCTCTGATAATAAACATCAGTTATTTCAATATTCTTTTGGGGTTAAGTATTTTTAATATTTTTTTAATAATCTTCAATAATTAAAAGTATAAAAATATAAATAAATTCAGAACTCCGATGAATAATAAATTGTGTTAAATTAGCCAGAGAAAAACAATTCGTGAGTCATAAATGACCCATGAGTCACCAGTTGGATGTCGCTGCAATAGACTTGCATCAAAAGGATATGTTTACAATGGTTCATAAATGGAACAACTGTTTTAATGCCAGCAGCAATGTCTTCAAATGAAAGAACCTAACAGACCTACGAAAATGTTAACTGAAAAAAATTTATCACCCTTTACATTTATCATATTCTCTGTACTTTTAAATATCTTTAGCGAATAATAATTTCTCCTTCTGTTGCATTTATCTAGAACGTATTTCTATTTAAAAAATTATAAGACCCCCTCCTTATATGCTACTTTCTCTCTTTCAATATATACTTTATTTATTCTCATACAATGGAAAATGAAGTGAAAAAGAAAAAACTTTAATAAGCCTTTTATACATTTAATTGAGTCATTTAAAAGCCTCATGACTATGTATTACTTTATGTAAGAAAGCTTAGAAAATGTCATTCAACGGTCATAAAATGATTCATATCCAAAAGGTGGCATATTCTCTGATTTAGACTGATGATCATTTCCTTACACACTACTGTGGCATTATGTTCGAGTTGATTAACAAATATTTATTTAATTTACATCTTTCCCAGTTGCCTCATTTTACCAGAAAGTTCACCCATTTAAGAATTTATGGATTTGAATAATAAGCAGTTTTCCTATAAAGTTAGAAGCACTGCAAATAGCTGTATGTGAGAATTTTGGTACTCGTACTGACATTGCATTCCTATGGAATTTCTCTCTCTTAGTAAATTCACCACTGGTCTCGACCTAGACAGAAAAGCACAAAGACAGATTTGGTATGTTCAGAATTTGATTTACTGTTGTGATATTAGGTGCATCTTGAGATTCTCAAAATAAATTTTATTGTTTGAAATTATAACTTAATTATTAAGGAAACTTGTGTTTCAGTCAAATACAGGTGGATGGTACTTTTGTCTTGTAAACTTTGTATTTAACCCTCATAAGTCATGAGTTAACATATATTTATGTTTCTTTGGTTAGAAATTCAAATGGTGATAATTCACTCACAGAATCTATGTAAAACCTCAGTTAGATTGCAAGTTAGCTAGCTTAATTATGTACCCAAGACAAGTGTGACACTATAAGCCCTATAAAAGCACTTAGATAGTATCAGCTATTATAAAAGTGGTATTTCACTGCCTCTTGCAGAAAATAAGATCTACAGATCCCTCTCAGCACTCTATGAAGTAATCTTATAAGTACTGTTCAGTAATTTGTGCTCTGCAGGTACAGGCTGAAGTAAGGTCCACGCCTGTGTATCCAAGTAGTCATGTTAGGTACTGTTGGGTCTTACTAATTGCTAAGCCTCTGCAGGTTATCCAATGACTTCCTACCTCTCTTTCACTATCACCAACCTCTAAATTTCAGCTCGATGCCCCTTTGGCACATAGACACTACACCTTTAGGAGCATCCATGCCTTCTCTGGGATCACTAACCACTACCCTCCCTGAGCAGCATCTGTGTTCCACAAGTACAGGTAAAAGTGGGTAGGACACCAGAATTTCACCACTGGTTGTACAGATGTAGTCCTACCTCACTAATTGTGCAGTTTTGCCCCCATTTTCAGGAAGAACACATCGAGGGGTGTCAAAGGGTCTCCCACCTTTCTTTGTATTACTAAATACTACAGAGGGCTGGGCAGTATCTGTGTTAACAGTGGGCTAAAACTGGGAACTTGATATTCCACATGGAATGGTTAGGTTAGATATGTTATCTGAATATGGTGAAGTACAGGAAGACTATCTGCCAAAGGAGAAGGATGCCTCTGAAGAGTATTTTCTAAGTAAAACTGGCTAATATTCACATTACACATGGGAAATAACAACCACGCAGACAGCCTATTTACCTGGGTTCAAACAGTATTTAAGCAGTCTTAACCACTGGTGAGGTTCTATATGACTGAAACAAATACAATATTAAACACGTAAATGTGTTAAAACATTTTAATTTTTGAGATAAAATTTGTTTTTTGGCACATATTCAGAATAAAATATTTTTTTCATATAATTTTTTCAAGTAATACTTTTAATATATACAAAGATTTAAGAACATATATTTTTTTAATTAAAAGAAATTAAACAGTTGTTAAATTTTAACTAATTTAACTTTGTTTCTCATTAGCAAGCTTTTCAAAATTAAAAATCATTTTTCAACGATTTTCATTTTAGAAACTTACTGGTCACACAGATTAGTACAAGCAAACATATTTATTATTTGCCTGGAAAGAGAAGCTAGTAAGAGAAATTCTTCAATCAAAACGTAACTCTTAATAAAACTAAGTATGCTTAATTAACAATTAATAATTATAAGTAATTATAATTGTATAATAAAGTTTAATAAAAATATAGTTTAATAAAAAGTTTTCAAATAGTTAACATTAAATTACACACAATTTTTAAAACACTTTATTTTATTTTACACTTTATATTACACTTATAGTATGAGGTGGAAAAAATTAAAGGGGCAGATATATAACTCTACTGGCTCTAATAAAAAGAGCTCAAAGTCAGTGCTGGACATCATAACACTGAAATGTGAAAAAATTTTGCACCCGCCCTTTCAGCAAACTTGAAGTGTTAAAGAATGATTCAAATATTATACAAGCAGTTAGCTAAAATTTCCATGCGTCAAAGGTGGAATAAAATCACTGAGAAGGCATCTGACAGATTGTGGAGAGCCTATTTCCAAAATTTTCAGTGATTATTCAAGTTTTTTTACTTGTCATACACAAACAATACTTTTATCCCCATATTAGGAATACCTCTTTATTGTATAAAGAACGCACCACTACAGTTTTCAAAAATGTAGAAATTTTGAAATACTCAGGCTGAATGTCAAAATTTGGTCAATAAATTCACTGTTTTGATTTATTTTAAATGTTTCGTTTTAAATAATCATTTCATTTTAAATAATTTTATGTAATAAATTTCAAGACACTTTGCTTGCTAATTTGCAACTTCATGTGTCTGCACACTCCAATTTTTGGTTACGAAATTTTGCAAAAAACAGTACAGGTTATTCAAATAAATACAGTATTATTTAATTCCTGTTGTCAAATCACAATTTCTATTTTCACCTGAATGAAAAGTAAAGTTTCCATAGGCCATTTCTGAAAGCTCAAGTGTTGCTCAGCACAGCTCTAACTCCTCAAGCATATTATTTATATGTTTGCATAATTATCCAAATTTTGCATTATATCCAGTATATGTGTATATGTACTTGCTATATATAAATTAAAATCATGATAGTTTTTTTTTGTTTTTAATTACAGGTCTAGGATATGTTATAATATATTTGATTACAGTTATATTAACAAATTTCCATGATCTCAAAAAAGTATAAAACATTTTATCATTTTAAAGACTTTAAATAAATTGCTGATATACTAGGTTGACCAAAAAAAATTCTGAAACAGTCATGGAGAAGAGAAACAGTGCATTAATCATTTTCCCACAATTTTAAATTCATGTGCAAAATTTTTAAGGCAATAATAAATAAATTAAAAACTAAACATATTTTATCATTTTAAAGACTTTAAATAAATTGCTGATATACTAGGTTGACCAAAAAAAATTCTGAAACAGTCATGGAGAAGAGAAACAGTGCATTAATCATTTTCCCACAATTTTAAATTCATGTGCAAAATTTTTAAGGCAATAATAAATAAATTAAAAACTAAACATATTTACTTTTGGCTTATAACTAAATAAATACATGTTACAGTATACACAAATGCAGTCAGAGTTTCACAATAAAAAGTCTAACGTTCTAAAAAAATTCTTACTCTTTTTGCAATGACAGACAATCTTTTTTTATTGAATGAGTTCTGACGAAGTTCAAAAATCAAATTTATAAACCTGTAAAATTTAAAAAAATTAAAAAGATAAAACATTAAATGCATATGATCAACATTCATTGATATTTTAAAATTATAACCAAAATTCCTACCTAACAAGAGCCATAGCATAAAACATTTGAATTTCATTTTCTTGACAAAGAGTTGCATTACTTTCAAATAAAGCATCTTGAATAACAGCTCTAACTATTACAGCAGTAGCTTCTACAGCAGTGGGCAATGAAGGATGACACCTTAAATAGCAAATTATATGCACAATTAAATAAATACAATTTTAAAAAATAATTTGTATGAAAATTTAAAGTAATATTGCCTGCATATGAGGGGAAAATAATACAGATCTCATCATCTAGATTGCAATTTTCTTCAACAATCATTTTGACTAGGTATTTTCAAATATTCTTTAATCAATGGCTTTGGAAGCGAGCTGAGAATTTAAACTAAAGTCAGTTATTTTAAGTACTAGACCAGTGGTTCTCAACCAAGGGGGAAATTCCTTTGGTTGAGAACCCCTGTATCAGACTCAGTTGTCAGCTATCAACAATTAATAGTACTTGCATCTTCTGAAATTTTTAATACATATAGTATATATGTAGTTTAAAACTTTTATAAGAACACTATTCTCTCTTAACAAATTTATTAATTGAGAACAGTCTTGTTTTAAAAATATAATAGCTTTGTTTCTGTTGAATGTTACATGTCCAATGCTTTCAGCAAAATCAAACTTGGAATTTCCCACTTGATAGTTCAGTAATTCTACCATATCCTAAGTTTATTATATAATTAACAAGGAAATTAACCAAGGAAAATGCTCTCAATGCAACAGTTGTTGGCATTTACACGTGTTCACCATGTCCTAAGGGGGGGGGGGAACAGCTTCAGTCAAAGGCTGCACTATATAGTGATAACAGATGATAATTATTAGAAAAAATTTTTTTCATGCATATGGATAAAACGCAGAGGCCTTATTTTAGGGCTTGCCTATAAATTTAAGTCCAATAAAAAATAACTTTTTATTTAACTCTATCATAAGATATCCATATTAACTACTTTTAATTTGTAGCTATACAACAAATCATTGATTTTACAGTCCAATATCCAAAACAACAAGAAGTTGCCTGCTTTCAGTTTCTACGTCCTCTCCTCATTGTAACAGGATCGTTTATAGCCATGCATATTTATTGCCCAATTGTCTACATCGGTGGTAGGGCTAATCGATCCAACAGGCTGAAAAACACCTAATCCAGTGGGCCAGCTGTTCAGTTGATGGTGAAAAGAAAGAAAGGTGGTAGGGCTAAAAGCCAGCTCATATTAACATTCTTTGGGCAACTTCGGCTGATTATTTAACTTAAATTTTATGTTTCTGTGCTGAGTTGTAGCAAAAGTATTGGTTTAATTTTGTAAGCACCAGGAGTGTCTACTGTAAATCCAGTTCTTGAGTTGAATAAAAGAGGCTTTCCAGCTTTCCACCCTTCACCTGCTTTATTATTGATACAGTTTGAACTTAACGAATAGTCGCTTCACGGTTCAAGTTAAGATCTAGCCAATAAAGTAACTTTAATTTAGCTATAATCTTAACATTTGGCTCCCAAAAATTTATGAACCATATCATAAGACAGCAAAAAATTTTGTATTGGCTCCTCCAAGGCTTCAAGTTCCACCAGCATTGGTTAACCCAATGGAGGGTTTTGGCTTCATAGTCGAGACCACGTGGGCGGGCCACTATAAAACCTGCTGCCACTTTTGATGGAAAGAGTGCCGTTATGTTGTTCTTGGAACATTTGGATTTCATGTCACTGCATGTCATATTATATCCTGTTCTGGAAATGCAAAAGTTACAACTGCCACAGTGAACTTCAAAGGCTAAGCATTACACTGGTATAAAGGCATGAGCAAGTTCTTGCTAGTGAGCCAGGAAGTGAAGCGTGGGAAATGTCTAAAAATGCACTGATGAAAGTATTCCCAGTGGTAAAGGATCAAGCTAAATTAGAAGATGAACTTTTCAGCTAATAAACAGCTTTAGAATAAGGTTGAGGAAGTGACCGAATCTATTTTAAGGAAAATTCAGGTTTTCAATATGTTGTACAACAAGAGGCCATATATGAAGTAGTCAGAGTGATTGTACCGCCGCTGCCTACCCTAATTCAGAACATTTTCGAGGTGAGAAATCGTACTATGCTCAGAAATCTATTTCAATTAGCAGTAAAGTTTGAAAGTGGCAATCATAGGAAAGCATGCATACAACAGGATATGGATAGAGGGCTGACTGCCCACATCCCACAAAGTTTTTCAGATCCCCACCCCAGCAAAGCCACAAGGTAGTCAGAACAGACAATATCCGTACTATCAAATGGATGCAACCGTACGAGGTAGTAATAAAAATAGTGGTCAGAAAAAGAAAGGTTTTGCCGATTGCAAGATTTGGTGAAAAATCGTTCTGGCTTTGTAACTATATGAGTAAGCCCCACAAGAATTAAACAGGGGATGGAAGAACAAAATTCATGGTTACCCATAATGCAAGAAAGTTCCTGTACAATTAAATTAAATTAAATACAGTGGTCATCAAGAATTTGGCTCTGCTGGAAATCTTAATTTTGTTAAATAATGTACCAGCTACTGCTTTGTTAGGCACTGAAATGCCAAATGCAGCTTTCTTTTTGCAAAACTTTTTCAAGAAAAATGTTAAGAGATACCATGTGTTTAAGGTGACAAGAAATGATCACTGTTCTGGGCAAACAATGCATATGCCTCCAGAAAGTGGGTCTGCATGTTCAAATTAAAAATGAGGAACAAAGTAGTAAAACATTTGCTAGTGTCAGTAGTATTTACATGTGATGGGTGCAAAATTGAATTTTTAGGATGCCACATTACAGGTACAGATGGACAAGATACAGGAAGAGGAAATCCAAGCACCAGAAATGGAACTCAGCCATCTGTCAAAAGAAGAGAAGCCTAAGCTAGAAATACTGATATGAAAATTTTCACAACTATTTGATTCCAAGCCCGGCTACACCCAAATTGTGAGCCGCAAAATAGACACAGGAAAGAATCCCCCTGTAAGAGCTAAGCACTACAGATATGATAAAATGGAGGAAATAATCAAGAAACATATTAGAGATGTTAGAAAATAAAATTATTACCCCCACAAGAAGTCCACATACGTGTCTTGTAGTGTTATGCTATAAGAAAAATAATAACCTGTCTTTGGACTATAAATCATGGCAATTTGCTGTCAATTATCATAAACTCAATAGTATTACTAAATATCCAATATACCTGCTGCTAATAATGGAAGAAATCATATGGAATATAGAATTCAAAAAATACACAACAGCTATAAACTTAACTTACGGCTATTTTGGATCGACGTGAAGTCCCAAGATGTACAGAAAATGGCATTCATCACCAAATCCAGTGCATATGCCTTTTTAAGGATGCCATTTGGACTATGTGGAACTCCATTCCACAGAGCAATGGATATTCTTTTAAAACTCGGGCTAGGAAAGAGTACACTTTATGCACTTGAATGATATAATTATTACTAGCAAAACAACTGACCAACACATTGAACATTTAAATGAAGTATTTTTGCTGTTAAAGAAGCTGGCCTCAAAATAAATGCCTTGAAGAGTAGATTTGTCGCAAAAGAACTTTGTTACATAGGGTATAAAGATTTCCCAATAAGGAACTGAAGTGAAGCATTCAAAAATAGTAGCCACCAAAAACTAAAAAGAAATTATCGTTTCTTGGTGTGTGTTCTTATCACAGATTGTTTATAAAAGACTTTGCGAAAATTATTTAACGCTTACTAATTTTGAAAAGAAAAAAAAAAAAAAAAAAAATTATGTGGACTGCAGACATAACAACTTGACACAGCCCATTTGAACAACTTGACACTAATTCAGGCTCCAGTGCTAAAATTCTCGGAAGCAGATCAGAACTTGGATATTACAGCAGATACTTCGCAATTGGCACCATTCTGTCTCGAAACGGTCAACCAGTGGCATACTTTAGCAAAACCCTAAATGCAAACAAATTATACAGCCACAGAAAGGAAAACATTAGCAGTTCAGAAGTTTTGAGCCTAATATGGAAAGGCACTAATAACAGTGTTCTCAAACCATACTGCCATTGGGCAGCTATATTCAGGCAAGAACTTATCCCTAAGGCTCTTCAGATAGGCCTTTAACCCTTCTGCGATGGGAAGAGCAAACGCACACTTATCAGCGAGGCCGGCAGTCTCTTTCACGAATGTCAGTCCAGGGCCGGAAGATTTTTTGCTATTAAGCTTAAATTCATAAAATTACCGAATATCAACACATTATTTAATAATGTTTTGTAGAGTATTTAAATGGCATATGCTTTATATTTTTATAGATACTTTATTTCTTGTTTAAATATATATTTTACACACATTACATAAGCATACCTTTCTGTATCCCTTTAAATCCTTTTTTGCTACTATGTAGAGTCTTTTAGGATTACTATGTGAGGTTCTATTATGTTTTCCATTGCTTTTATTTCGGAAAGCCTTTAGTGTACTTATATACCTTATACAACTTCAGTTTATTATGGCAAGCAAGCATTTATTTACCAGACGAATGATAAATGAGCTAATTACTGATACGAATGAGAGTGATGATTCATTTCCTAAAGAGTTAGAAAGCAGTATTTCTAGTAATTCTTATATGGACATTTTGTCAGAGACTGAGCTCATTTAGTTTACGTCTATCATCCAGTTTACGTGAAAGATTTTACTTTTTGTAAAGACTTTCTTGTATTTATTTTATTAATTTAAAATAAAAGTTTATTATGTATTTTATCAATTAAAACTTTGGAATAATTTGAATAGTGTTTCCGAAAATTTCTCAAAGTGAGCATTATATATATATAATATATATTTTCATGTAAAGGAAAAAGATATTTAAACGCTAATTTCAACATATATGATAGCTTAAAGATCCATTATAAGGCATGCCATTTGGAAATATTAATTTCCTCTTGGGTTAAGGGCTTAAATTGTGAGAATACATTTTAATATTAAGCAAACAACAGCAAAATAAAATGTTATTGTTGATGTGTTATCTAGAAAAGCGGTCGTCAACCCTCTGAACTTCACGGACTACTATAACTTTATATTTGGCGAGAACCACTAATATAAATTAAAAAAAAAAAAAAAAAAAAAAAAAAACTTAAATCAGACCTTAAAAACAACATTCACCTTTCCAACACA